AAAAAAGATTGAATCAAGTTTTGTCTGAAATATTCCACAGTATGACATTAAACCGCTTCTACCTTACATTTACTCAATTACAGGCGTTTCTAATGCTCAAAAGTCCATCCATCCATTTTTTTTTTCTGCTTATCCGGGGCCGGGTTGCTCAAAAGTAAAAACAGGCATTCTGACTGTGAGCAGGGTCGCCTCTCCACAGATCTGACCTGTAACTTGGTCTGGTTTGGTCTCCATGATGATAGAAAGGTTTAATACCAAACTGTGAAACATCCGAGACAAATCAATAACATCTTCATAAAGAAAAGCATCTGAAAAGTAACACCAGACACCTTTAATGCTGTTGATTTGTTTGTTGTGTTATATGACCTGTTACTAAAAAAGGCATGTTTTCAATGAAAGGTTAAGTATTTTAAAAACATGTATTATTTGTCTGTCTGTAAACTTATGTAGTTTTGTATTCTGTCCATTATAATTCATGTTATTTGTGTTATGTATTTTGGACCTCCTCAAAATTGAGATTAGACACAAGGGTCATTACGATCAAGCCGTGTGTCATTCGCTCATTCGTTTTTCAAAATAAGAAATGAAAAAAACAACTATTTTCTTCAGTATTTGTTTCCAAAACCAAAATGAAAAAACAGATTTTTTCAGTTTTTGATTTTGTGTTGAAATGAATAATTGAAAAAAATGGATAACTGAACCAGGACTGAACCTTTTTCAGTCCTGTTCTGGTCCCGGTCTGGTCCCGGCCTCAGTCCCAGTCTGGTTCCAGTCTGGTCCCGGCCTCAGTCCCAGTCTGGTTCCAGTCTGGTCCCGGTCTCAGTCCTGGTCCTATTCCCTGTCTCAGTCCCGATCTAAGTCCTGGTCTCAGTCCCGGTCTGGTTCTGGTCTGGTCCCGGACCTGATTTAGTCCTGCTTTAGTCCCGGTTCAATTCTGGTTTAGTCCTGATTTAGCCCTGGTTCAGTCTTGGTTTAGTCTTGGTTTAGTGTTGGTTTAATCATGGTTTAGTCCTGGTTTAGACCCGGTTCAATTCTGGTTTAGTCCTGATTTAGCCCTGGTTCAGTCTTGGTTTAGTCTTGGTTTAGTGTTGGTTTAATCATGGTTTAGTCCTGGTTTAGACCCGGTTCAATTCTGGTTTAGTCCTGATTTAGCCCTGGTTTAGTCCTGGTTCAGTGTTGGTTTAGTGTTGGTTTAGTGTTGGTTTAGTCATGGTTTAGTCCTGGTTTAGACCCAGTTTAGTACTGGTTTAGCCCTGGTTCAGTCTTGGTTTAGACCTGGTTTAGACCTGTTTTAGTCCTGGTTTAATCTTGGTTTAGTCCTGGTTTAGTCCTGGTTTAGTCCATCAAAATCTAAATCAAAAACTGAAAAAATGATATGCAGTAGCAGGAAGAGTCCTCAAAAACACGTAGTTCAGGGGTCTTCACTGTCACTAAAAGAAATGATCAGGTTCAATATTTGTGAATTTACCTTTTGGATATTACTTATGAGAACATCATGTACAGTAAGCTTCAGTAAGTTTGAGCTTCTACCATTTTGAGCCCATTCAAAAGGAAATATCTTTTAAAAAACAGCTTTGAATTCTGAATAACTATGCCAAAAGCGTAAATTTTTCATCACTTTTAAAACCCATGGATAGTAAAATTTGCCTCTTGCCCCCCATCTAGGCATGTGCCATCATCTAGAATCTTAAAACCAGGCATTTCAATTTTAAATGTCACAACTGAACTTCTTTTGTTTAATTCAGGACATAGCAGGGTCCTCGTGGCGTGCTGGGGGCTTTTCCTGTCTGCTCCTTGGGGCTGGCCGCCTCTCAGTCTAATTAGTGGAGATAATGGAGGGTGAAGCCGAAAGGTGCTGATGGGGTCCAGCAGAAGGTTATTAGGTGTCCTCATTAGTGCCCGACTGAAGTGTGAGAGGTTTTAAAGTCCCATTTTGATCCTGATGGACGGTGCGCTGACTGCACGGCCAGGTGGGATGCACACACAGGGGAACGGGGAAAGAACACGGGGAGTGGTGTTAGCAATCAATTTAGTGCATTATGAAGATGGTTGCGCGGTGCACAACTGGAGCGTTATGATCTGTCAAAGGGACTGGCCTGTCTGTGCAATGCTGTAGTGGTGTGGAAAAGATGTGCAAAACTCAAACTGTACATAAATAACAGAAATAAATTACTTCGTGTTGGTATGTTCAGTATTCAAACAAAATTTTACTTATTTTTTCATATGTAACATTGCAGGGTTTGCACAAAAATACTTAAAGGTCCACTGTGTAACTTTTTGGTTGGGGGTCCGTCACCTGCTTGCTTCTATTGAAATGTCACAGCTCTGCCTGGAATGTTTCACAGTATGACATTAAACAGCTCTACCTTACATTTATTCAATTACAGGTGGTTTTATGGCTTGAAAAATACCTCAAAACAAGCATTGCTGATTGTAAGCGTGGTTGCCTCGCCACAGATCTGACCTGTCCACTTCCTCTGAAAACAGAAATTTTCAGAGCACTCAAGCCTTTAATGGGGGACAATACAGAATTAATCGAAATATAACTTATGTTGTATTTGGGACTATGGTAAGTTTGACATTTGTGACTCCAAAAATATATATGAAAACTGTGACACAACGAAATCCAGGCACTCCAAAGAAGTAAAAATCGTACAAGGAAAAATACAGTTAAAAGGCCTTTATTAAGATAGCCAAAGCCAACATGTTTCAACTAAACTGGTCTTGATCAGGGCTTAGTTAAAAGGACATTAAAACTGACTGACTGACTGAATATAAGCTGCAGGGGTCCACGTCTTCAAGAGCGTTTTCAAGTTCGGGTCATCTGCTTTTATTGCCTCTGAAAGCTTTTGTCGTCTGTACATGGAGTTAGTTCGTCACGCTGCTGTCACTATTGACTCATTGATGCCAGGCTCACGTGCAGCAGCTCTATTTCCTTCTTCCACAGCCACATCAATCGCCATTAACTTAAAAGCTGCATTATCGGCATTTCTTCGCGTGTTTTCCATGAGGAGGGTGTGTGCATGAAGCGCAAGATAACTGTTCAAAACACAGTCAAACCAGCTTCTTCCTCGCTGCATTACCCTCGTCTCTCCCTGTGCTCTACGGCGCATGTCTCCTGCAGAAAGAGCCTGTCTGTATCATTTCAGAGTCTTGGAGGATTTCAGCAGATTTCAGGCTCTCTCGGGGCTGGGGCTAGTTCTATCAGTCAGGTATGAGTGGATGTTTGGCTGCTGAAGTTTGAGACGTTTCTTCTTGTCATTTATGCATATGGGTAAGACGTATCCCCCAAGGTTAATTTAACATCATAACTTATTTTATCATATGGCGAAACTGTTTGAGTGAGCAGATAGTGTCACTAACTAGTGTAAAAACTTCATGTTAACCCTAGATCCATGTGTGAACCGCACAGACAGTGACTCTTTCTGCACTCTGCGCGTATCCACTGTGTTGCCAAACCATAAACCGTATACATGAACAGATAATGTGCCAAACAACGAATCCGTCCATATATTAGACGCATCATTTTATTAGCCCCAGGGTTCAAAGTGTGAGAAAAAAGTACCGGCTTATAGTCTGATACATTTCCCAACTCTCAATTAAGACGTGGGTTTAATTGTTTTCTTATTTGTTTACTGTATTACTCAAGACTTCACTGTCACAGATACTATTACCGAAATGACAAAGGAAAATTGCATTTCTTATCATTTACATACCTGTGAGAGTAGTTGCTCCGTTGATCCTTCAGACACAGGAGAGCCTTTGTTTTCTTCTCCTTTGCTTCTTCTGTTGGGATGTATCACAGTTCAACTCTGTTTACCTGGTCTCTTATCAGAAGCTTCATCACTTTTCACCGTAGCTTATTCAAATTCAGTGTTTACCTTTACTTTGCAATTTTGCCTCGTGGTACCTGAATAAATAATATCTCTGTTCCAACAGATTTCAAAGTAATTTTTCCAATTCTGAAGTATGGGCTCCTGTAGGTTTGGTACATTTATTATATTGTCAGGAGAAAGCTACAAAATGTAAGCCCTAATTGTCATTGTAAAGTGACTGTGACAGGTTTTGATGATTCTCTAATTTTGACTTAATTTGGTGAGATTATACCGGTCGTAAATATAAATTATAGTTTTACACCAATCAAGAAGCAATTTGCGAAGAAAAGCTGAAAAATATGTTGAAAATTACAGGATGTAGAAAGTTTCCTATGGATGACATCACAGCGGGAGAATTCTGTCCAAAAGTTCAGCGCAGTTTGCACACAGAAAACTTTTTTCTGATACTTTAAACATCATTTCAATAAAGTAAAGGGAATTTCTAATAGCCTAATTTTGTTTGTCAAAGTTATGGAATTCTAGTGTGGTCATGAAGTAAAATGTGAAACCTAACAAAATTGCCAAACTGGGGACGTTTTTTTGCAAAATCAGTTTTGAGTTTCTCCTTGCCGAGGAGGATGGTCTAAAGACAGGTGGCGCTCTGGTTCCGCTGTCAATGTGCTTGTTTCCTGTAGATGTTGGTTAACCTGCTTGTCTGTTATTGACCAATGACTGTTTCCCTGTTTTATTTTCAAATTTTCCATTATTTTCTTAATTATTTCTTGTGGTTTGAAAGACTCAATATGTCCTGTTTCTTGGCAACCAAATTTAGTAAAAAACAAGAATAAGTCAACATTCTTCACAAATACGTGAACTTTGTGGTAATGTAGATGTGCCAGCTGCACATGTACACAATTCTATTTTTATACTTTTAATTAATATTTGTAGCAAAAAGCACACATTATGAAAAATATAAAACCTTTAGCATTTGTTCATTATCCAGAGTAATATTAGAGTAGGGAAGAGGAATAACTTAATCATAATTTGCTAAAAAGGTTATATTTTATTAATATTCTTAATCAATAAAACAGCTAAATGTATAAATTTGCAAGTATATTTAATTGGTTTTTTTTGTACTTTAACTCCCGTGTCCCTGTTATAAAGTGATACACAACAGTCAAAAAGCAATGTATTTCCATTTTATTGTATTACTCATAGTAGCTCAGACACGTGTATATACAAATACAGATATTTTTGTCATTTTTGTGGTTTATATACTGTAAAAGAGCAGGTTCAGAAAACATTCCCCCACAAATGGCAAAGTGGGGGTCGGGTTCAAAACTTGGACAAAAGTAGGAACAGCGGGTGGAGTGGCCGAGGTTATACAAGCACGGGGACGAAGAATGGACGCACAGAATGGAGTGGGAGCAGTGCCCTTTGAGTACCGCTCGGAGAATGGGCATCGCCAGGCTAGCACTACGCTGTCGGATTTGGTAGAACAAGAGGCGCTAATCCCCCCGAACTCTGCCCATCCGCGGACTTACACCACAGGGAGAAGTAAATGAGGTTTGTTCAAAAAGAAGTAGGGATAGAGGAGGGCCCTGTCTGTAGCTTCTTGGACGCCAGCAACCATTGAGTGTAAAAACAACAAATGGCAGAAAGCTTCTACACACAATCACAATCATGGCTGCCAGGGTTGAGGCTCGAGAGCTAAGGCATGGGAAACACTCTCCTTTGCCAAAGAGGGTAGCTGCTTCCTATTCACCGCGGCGACAGCAATGAGACACACACAAGAAATCCAAGGAACTCACATGTTTTGTTTGTTTTTTTTGTATTTTTTTTGTATATAATTTTTTTTTTTTACCAAGTCCACACATTGATGTATACGCTCCCGTTCACTTTTGGGAGTGAACTATGGATACTCAAGAAGGACAGACTGGAGATGTGTTTAGTAGATGAATACAGAAAGAGGTCATCGGTAAGAAAATAACTACAAGTGGCCAAACCTTCTCTGGAACTTTACAATGATTCGTGTTATGTACATTTTGTCACAACGCCACTCAAATGGGGGATGCAAAAACTCACACACACATAACGTGATCTAACATGAAAACCTAAAGGATAACAGAAGAAGGAAAAAAAAAAAAAAAAAACACTTCATTTTGAAAACTCCAAACATGTCATTAAGTTCATGCGCATGCCACAAAATGAAAACTGACAAGACCCTTCTGTTAAGTCCACTCCGCGGCGTAGCTCCCAGCCGCCCCAACATGCTTCCAAACACTCAAGGCAAAACAAGTAGAAAAAATCCCAAATCCGGGCCCAGTTCCGAGTGTCCTTTCAAGGCAGGGTCCTTTAGTGAAAAAGATGGCGGAGGTTGGTTTGAAAACATGGAACAGGTGAGCCCCTCTTCGGCTAAAAGTCCAAAACCATCTGCACACTTTCGCCATGTGCAGCTCCCCGACTGTACAATAGCTCATTAAAGTTTAGTAGGCATTGAGGATATACCATGATCATTTTTTAGAAAAGACATAAGAACCAAATTAATACTTTAATATCAAACACTATTTACATCAAGATCCTCTCCTAATAATAATAATAGTCATAACAATAATAATTATACAGTTTAACAATTACGTGTCTCTTTTTTCTTTTGTCCTCCAGAAAGGTACAAAACGGATACTAACCTAAATACTACTTGTTTTATGGTTGACTACCTCAGGATACACAGTATCCACTTAAAAAAGTTGATCCTCATTTCCCAGTTGAATAAACCATGGTGATATTAGTGATAATGGCAAATATTGGTAATCGTAATAGTGTACAATCAAAAAGCTGGTTTTCCGAAGAGGCTGACAAGCGTCCATTTTGATTCTCGGTGAGTTCCCTGTGGTAATCTCTTGGAAATTAGTACCGCATTAAAATGGCCATCTCCAGTTACGGACCACACAGCTGAGCCTCCATGCCGCTGTGATAGCATTGTTAGAGCAGAGCAAAAACCAAAACCGCGAAAAAGTTGAAGGCAGTCCATTGTTAGGTAAAAAAAGGCAGCTAGACAAAAGGAACAAAACAAAAACCGTGCTTGCCTTTGAATGATATTGTCGTGTTTGGATGGTTTTTCAGTGGGGTTTAGCTGAGTTTAGTTTAGGCACTACGATATGGGGCTGTGTGTGTCTCTTCTCTCATTCTTTCCATCTCCTTCGCTCACAGATTCTGCAAGGTCATTGGTGCTTGAACCCCCCACACGATGGAAATCTACACCCTCCCCTCCCGAGACCCCCCCAAGCCTTCCACCATCTATTTTTAATACCAGAGTTCGCTCCCTCATTGCCGCGACATGGGGTCCAAATGCCTATCATTTTGAACCTCATTAAAGAGAGATCTAAACTAGTATTTCTTGGAGCCAAAGGTGGACATGTAACTAATGGATATCCAGGCTTTTCTACTATGTTATACTGAGAAAAAAAAAAAGATAGGCCATGTATATTTCAATACTGTAGACAGTAGAAGCTAAAAACGTCAAATAAGTACACGACTCTGACCACTATAGTAGACTTCTGAATCAATTGTAAGAAAATAGCTACAAAGTATTACGAAGCTGGTGACCAAAATTTCCGCAATATATCCTAAAACTTTCATTATATTTACATTAAAACATTAAATTAAATAAAAATCTGCATATTTGGCACAGATTTTTTGCGGGAACACATTGACCTAGATCATTTAGAGTTTATTTTGACTGTATACTAATTATATGTTTGCACTGCTGTCAGGACCAAATATTGAAATATGAATTAAGTGCTTTCCATTAAAATCGGTTTTGAAAATCACTGGAAAAGAATCTCAAAAAAACTGCCAGCATGCATTCTTAATTTTAACCAGATTCTTGTTTTTCTTATTTAAATGTATTAACATACTACGAGATACTGTATGTATGTGTTGGCACGTTAAAAAGGGGGTTGATTTGCTAACTGTAAGTGTAATTGGGAATAAAACATAATTAAAGCACAGTGTATTCCTTTAAGTTTAAGTGCTATCATAAAACTGACCACACTACATAAAGCTAAAATTCACCGCGGATACTAAACACTACATTTCGTGAACGATGGACTATTAGTTCTGAATATGACCAATTAACTATCTAGTTCTATTGTTGTGATGTCTTCTATAATAAAACTTGTATTTTACTGTCCATAAAACAGTACAAAATACAAAAATACAGTGCTGCAAGGTCATATAATTTAACATTCTAGTAAAATATTAACTGTCCAATTAGGTTCTAACCTGTTTTAGCCGAGGATGCTAATGTTTATGAAGTGTTAAAGGTGCACTGCGCAACTTTTCTGGTGGAGTAGTGTATAGATTAAACCTTTCTATAATGAGGGAGACAGATTACGGCACTACACGATATTACAATTCAGATCTGTGGACAATCGCCTCTATTCACAAAAAGAATTATTGTATTTTTGAGTAAAAGAAACACCCGTGATGAATAAATGCTAGACGTATATGTTTAATGTCATACCAAAGCAATTACATTTCCATGGAGACAAGCAAGTAGCGGACCCTCCACCAGAAAAGTTTTGCAGTGCGCCTTTAATATAAACAGCAGCCCGGTAAACGTTAGCTAAAATGAATGCGACAGACGCAGTGAAATTGTGTGATCAGCTTTCAAAAGATATCGATCCATCATCCCGGCTGCAGATCACGGAACGCTTGCCGAGACAGTTTACAAGATCAACTTCTGCTGTTTCAATCGCTAAAAAGAACCTTATCATCGTACACATACGCACAGTCAATTCAAGGGAGGACAGCGCATACGGTTTGCATCTCTTAAGGTGCATGTCCTTCATTGCTGCTCCAATCTGTGACCTCGGCTCGGAGCCAGTTTTTCTTTTCATTTCTTTGTGCCGCTCTGGCATTGGCGAAATAGAGGTGCAAAAATAGCATTGTACCAAGCAGCAGGCTTCCATCATACAGTACGTACATTGTGAAAGGCTTCTAGAGAGGTCTCGGGATAACTTTTTAACATGTATATACAGGCATTTTAAAGAGCTAAATCCGTACATCCCTACGGAGAAACACGGCTAGTATCTATGCAACTGACAATCTCCTATGCTATGGGTTATTATTAGTGAAGAGTGATTTGTGTGTATGCGCGCTACTGTGGGATGGGTAAATGTCAATGTTGCAGCCACAAAACATATAAAGGGATGTCAAAAAAGTCACGGGAAAACAAGAATCACTAAGTGTCAAAAAATGGCATTTGGCATCTTAGTTTGAAGGTTTAAGAGGGGGAATTGTCTCTCCCGCTTCCAACTTGCGAACGGAGAAAAAGACCATCTAAATATCTTTTTGACGTTGGAAAAAAGGGTTCCATGAGAAGCTTGTTCTGACTCTCCAAATCAGGCTGACACGCTCCACCCAAATCCCGCCCCTTTCCCTGCAGATTCAGGCCACGCTAGGTGTAGTTTCCCCTCCAGGAACGAGGGGGGGCGCTATAAAGTGTAGAGAGCCACTAGGCACGCCAACAACACGGCCAGAAGAGAGGACTTCCGGAGATGTGACGCAGCGTTTGTTTCTTCGCTTCGAGATGGTTCGGCGGATTCGTGGCTGGTGTCGTCTGCAAAAGAAAAGAACAAAAACAAAGAGGTTTGAAATGAAAATTCATAAAACACTGTTTGAATCTGTGTAAAGTATAAAATATTTTGGTTGGGGATCTGTCACCTGCTTGTTTCTATGGATTAAAGCCCTGCACACCACGGACACATTTTGAAAGCTGAGTGGGCGGGTGGGATGATAAACTGTAGTCCCGCAAACTAAATATGAGTGTAAAGTAAAATGTACAAATGATTCATATATGCCTATCATACATCATTTGTACTGGATATTTTATTTGGCATTAGTAAAAACATTTTAAGCAGCCTAAATTTGCATATGTGGTCTAATCTCGTGCACATTTTAGACAATTCCTTTCTGCTTCTCCGTGTTTGATAGAGCTTAAGAAATCGAACGCCACCGTCTTGCAGAATGAATGAATGAATGAAAAATGAAGATCTCAACTCTCTGTGGGTGCGGGCCGGAGTGGGACTGAAAATTTTGTCGCATTGTGTCATCGCTCTGCCTGGAATATTCCACAGTATAACATTAAACAGCTACATATTATGTTTATTAAATTACAGGTGGTTTTATAGCTCGAAAAATGTCTCAAAAACAGGTATTCTGACTGTGAGCGGGGTCGCCTCTCCACAGACCTGACCTGTAACTTGGTCTGGTTTGGTCTCCATGAAGATAGAAAGGCTTAACTGTGAAACATTCCAGGCAAACCAATAACATGTCCATGGAGAAAATCATTTGACGGACACTCAGGAAGAAAAGTTACACAATGCTCCTCTAACGTAAGTGAACGAAATAACAAAATTGCTTAATGGAAAGTTGCCACATGAACTTGGGTTGCTATGTGATACATTTAATGTCTTTCTTGCACGTATGCGAAAAGGAGTTCTGAGTACGGCCACCATGAATGAGCAACCAATGCATGCACGGCCATTGCGATGTACACCATAGCAACAGAGTGCGAGAGAAAAAGGTATTCATGGAGTTCAGCTTCCTTACATATGCAGCATTTTAAGGACTATTTCCCATTTGAAATTTATCATATTTTGTGTTAAATTATTAATCAATATGGCAACGGGCCTATTTGGCAAAGGTGTGTAACAAATTTGTGTTTGCATATAATTGTGAGAGTTAGAGATTTGAAAATGTATGTTATTTTAACACTTAATACAATATTATTATCCAGTTGCCAATGGTCAGTACTAGGGATGTAACGATATCCAACTCTCTCGGTACGATATTATCACGATATGCATCTCACTGTATGATATTTATTTATTTATTTATACTTTGGAAAGGCTAATATAATTGTAGATAGGCGACGTTTTTGCTTTTGAAATACTTTGACAAGACTTTGGTGTGAATTATTTCCATCATAATCCCAAGAATTCAAGTAAAAAACATATTTCTTCATGTTGTCTGCACTGAAATGAATCATGGGATATGTAGTTTTCGATGTTCATAAGATGTTGCTACTATAAAAGCATGCATTTAAGCTAAGGAACTTGTAATTTGATATAATATGACAGCCCACGATATTATTGTGAGACATTTGACGATACGATATCACAATATTTCGTTTATTGTTACATCCCTAGTCAGTACCAAATTATTACACACATGTACTATAGAGAACAATCCCAAGTATTGTCCATATGAATGCATGTGCTTTATATGGGTGTCTGTCATGCTTAGAGACACTAGGAATGCACAGTGTAAGAGAAAAAAAAAATTGAGTAAAACATTTAGACATGCATTTAAAACTGCTGATTAAAATAAAGCGTAAACAACATGCACTATCGTCATTTCTCGTCATGCCATAAGACGGAGCACAAGACAAATTCCCCAACCAAAATCATTCCAAACTGAAAGAAACTCAGTTATAAACCACATTTTAAAGTACACCAAAACAGAAAGAACCATGACAAATGCACAAACATACTGCACATTCCCACCTTGCAGCATTCTGTAAATGGAAAAGAGACATACACACCAAAGAATAAAAATGCAGAAGGAAGCCATACTAACCTCGGGGTTCTAACGTATTGTCTACTTTGTCGTTTACATCAAAAACGCGGTCATGTACACCTATAGTTTTGATACAGGTGTCTACAACAGAGGAAGAGAAGAGAAGAAGAGATTAGCCATATTCGTTAGTCACATTTAAAGCTCCCCGTTCCCAACTTCTTTCACCCCCCATAGCAACAAGCTCATGGCAACATTCAGGTGATGTGAGATGTGTAATGAATTCAAACATGGTCTATTTTGTATGTTGTGACAGCTAACAGATAAGGAACGTACATACTTTGGATTGTTTGCGTGTCTGGAAGCTGCTCTATGTACAAACTTACTTGATGGTCGGACATATACTTTGAGCTTCAGGCATGTTTTCCTTCCGTTCTCTGCGATGGTCGATGCTGCAAAACAAGTAAGAAAAAAAAGAAAAGAATTTTGCGTTAGGATGTTGCTTGTATGTCAGAAATCTATTCATAACATCAGGGAAAGAAAAGCTATACAGACGCAATAAAAATCTCCACAATATTTCCTGATGGATTTTGTGGTCTTAGTCACAGTGTGTGCGCAATTCTAGTCAAAAAGTATAAACAGATGTGTTCTCTGAGGAAACTAGAATCTTTTGATATGATTTAATAGACGAGAGGGAAGTGCAGATCTTGACCAAGGCGTTGGCTTGGACTTGCAGTGGGACAGTGCCGAGACCACAAATGGAATTTTCATAGTTCAGTCATAAATTCTTCGTCTGTTTAGCAAGTAGGATCATATATTTTATCTCGTAATTCTGCAAAATCTGCAGATACGTCGATAGATATTTTCTGGGCACATTGCAAGACTGATGTGGTAAGCTGGAAACATTTTTTATTGCCCTTCAGTAAAACATCAACAATTTTACTTCTGTTCTAATTGACTTAGACATAGACTAACTTTATTGATCCACAAGGAAAATTATTTGGACGCAGTTTCTCACACATCACACATCACACACTAAATATAATAACGAGGAGCAAAATATAAATGGTAGTGGTAATAAATTCAACATAAGTAGCAAAAATATAAAAAGTATATGTACAATTAAAAATAAAAGATAAAAATAGAGCAATACAAATCCACAAGTCGAAAAAGGTCAATATTTTTGTCACTCATTTCAGAGAGTCAAACCCATATATCAAACATGTCAAACTCAGGCCTGGGGGCCAAATTTGTCCCGCGAGATCATATCAAATATGTATTAGAGCTGCCCGCTGGCTACATATAGACTATAGACACATTATTTATTTAAAATTTTATTATTGTTTTTTTATATTATACTTGTTCTGGACTCAGTGTTTAAGAAAAACTATTAAACATTTATTTTAATGAGAAAAGGTTTAACATTACATATCTCAAAAGAAGAGAAAACATGCAGTAAATATTTAATTTGGCCCACGACTTAGTCTCAGTTTTTAATTTTGTTCCTCTGTGAATTTGTGTTTGCCACCCCTGGTATATATTATATAGATTCATGACACATAGAGTGAAGCTTAAGTGAAGCTTTCAAGCCTTTATCTCTTGACATTTTGAAGAGTATGGCTTACAGATAATGAAAACCCCAAATTAGAATGTTTTTGAGATGATCTAGTATCCAAGGAGGTCACGAGGAGAAACTGTGCAAAGATGAAATAATGATTGCCAGGGCGCAGATATATGGAGTATGGTATGAATGTAGTCCTGATGCAAAGCAAATATAATATATAGTAACATATTAAAAAAACACGCACTTGTTTAGCAAATATGATCCTACCAATGAGACAGATTCAGCTTTCAACAATCACTAAAGCTACATATTAGCCAAAGGAGCTCTCGGGAAATCCTAATTACCCACATCTTAAATGCACAGATCCTTTTCCATGTGTTGTTTACCGTTACTTCAGATGTACTGCCCTGAGTGCTCCTTATGGGACATAGTATGGATGCATGGGGTGCTTTGTATACGGTCTGCGGTTACTTCCAGGAAATGGATCCTTCCTGTCAGGCCCATGGGGTGTGAATCTGGGAGAGTTAGCCACCAAAGAGCTTGTATCAGTGGCCTAAAAATATCCCACATGGGCACAGTGTGTTGATGTGCTTGTCTGGCAGGGCTGTAATGGTGAGGCAGAGGGGGACCAGGTGCTGTCTGCTCCGGACAAGCCATGCGGGTCAAACGCAGGTCACGGAAAACACAGCGTCACTATAATATACATCCATCACAGCGGTATGTCCTCATGTAGGGAACAGTATCATAATGTAATGTCCCATGGGTGTGCTATAATCCCTCTATCAAAAACATATCCTGCGTGTTTTGGCTGTTTCAAAGTGCAGCGCGGAAATTACACCTTGTGACATCATTAGTTGGTAATGTACGAGGTTATAAACAATTACATGGCTCCTCATTGGCGGTCGGAGAAGCAGATATTGCAGATTAGAAGCCTTACGTTCCATAAATCTACCCCGGGGCAGCTGTGGCCACAACGGAGTATGTGTAGTGTATAAAAAGAACTACATAAATTCACTGCATTATTTTTATTATTAATTACAGATTCAGTGTTGCAACCCAAAATGATATAATAAACGAAAAGTATTGGTGTTTCACGTAATGGTCTTATATTACCAAAATTGTCTCTTTAAGCCATGTTAAAATGTTGTTATCTTGTCAAAAACATGAAACAGAAAACACATACCAAGGTTTTTGTAGATGTGCAATTGCAAGGAACAGTAAAATAAAAGTGAAAAAATGCATAGCACACTCAGATGGCCAATGTCCAAAAGCTTTTGTAAAATTTTAAATCACATTTCGGCAAAAAAGCCTTCGTCAGATCAGTTTTCTTGCTTTGGACCACAGTATACGTATAAGTATCTCATCAAAACATACCTGGAGTTGTGTTTTGTTTCATTCACAAATAATAATTAATAATAATTCTTTCTTATTTGTCTCCAAAGCTCAAAATGCGGCAATACAGGAAGTGCTCTACTGTGTTTTTAAACTCCATAAATGACATTCACTAGAATCATTTGGATAAATTCACCCTTGGAATTGCCATTCCTTAACGAACTATTCATTCATTCATTCGTTCATTCATTTATTTGTTTGTTTGAGCCAGGTACAACAAAAATTCAACAACAATAACAGAAACAGGAATATGTACATGAATATATTTGGGACCTGGTGCTCAAAAGGAGTAGGATGCATTTAAAAAAAACTTAGAGTCCTACCCCAATTGTTTTACGTAATCACATCTTTCACACTTTTTTTTTTTTAACTAAAGGTAAAAGGAGCTTGAAAACTACTACCACATGACATCACAAGTTGGAACAGAGTGTTTTGTGTGTCTTTAATTAAACATGTGTGAATGAAACAAAACACGGCTTCACATATGTTTATGATAAGGAAACATTATAACATAGATTGGAAAAAAATATCGTAATACGGGCCCTTTAATGTTCCAAAACAGATCAATAAATCATAACGTGCTTTCTACATCCACTATTGAAGTGAAAAAAAAAATGAAAAAAATACTGTATGCGACCCTTAACAGTGCAGTTAGTTTGTGCATGACCATCAAATCCTGAAAGCTTACACAGGAGCGGTGAGCGGTGGCAGGATCCGTGTGGGCATCTGTGTATGTATACGCGAGTGGGAGAATTACAGTGGCCAGGCATCGTTAGCATGCAGCCCCCACACTGACATAATAGGCCCCCTCTGTATCCATCTCTACTCTCCCCTCTGCTTTTTCTCTCATCTCTTGAATTTAAAGCTGAAAAAAAAGACCATCTGATCTCAAGTCATCCACCGCTGACACATGACTAAAGAGCTGATAACGACTGATGAAATGCAGACATTAAAAGATGCTAGGGCCAAGGTCGAGAGGGTAGGGGGAGAGTGAATGACTGATGAGAAACACTGAAGGAGAGCGCACTGTGAATTGTAAAAAAAAAAAGACTCGCCGGATTCTGTGGAAAAGCTGGATCAAATCATGGAAGATTGAGTGTGCAAAATTTGGCAGTTCAGTGTCTCCTCAGCCTCTTTTAACGTATTAGTCAACAGAACTTTTAATGAACATATCCTCAAGTCTTTTCAGCAATTTAAAGCGTCAATATGTACCATGTGTCATTCTTTCTTTTTTATATTAGACACTTTGGTATTTCATGTTGTGTAATTTAGGTGTAAACAGGACAACAGAGGGCGCAAGGGCAAGGGAAGTTGGTTAGTTATCAGTGAGAATAAACAGTACAAAATGAGCGAAAATATCTTCAATCTAGAGCAGACATGTCAAACTCAGGCCCAGGGACCAAATTTGGCCCGCGATATAATTATATTTGGCCGGCAAGATCATTTTAAATATGTATTAGAGCCGCCCGCTGGCTACAGATAAACTATAGAGATGTTATTTATTTAAAATTTTGCTTAACACTTTAAATTAGGGACCACATATTAATAGCTAGTTAACAGTAAAATGCATAGTAAGTACTTAATTACATCTTCGTTAGTATTTATAAAGTACTTTTAATGCATTTTTGTCTAAGGCCGTGCTTTACGAGTACTAACCCATTAACTGTTTTCTTCCCATTAAAGTAGTGGAGATTACAATAGATGTTTTTGTGCATATGCTGAAATCTTAATAAGGGGGAATGCCTTTAAAATTATGCTTTGAGTTTGTAACAATTAGTAAAAGATGATGAAAGGAAATGGTGATGGTGAAAATAATATGATCTTAACTAACAATTTAAAAATGGGAGAAAAAAAAAAAAAAGGAAGAAAGAGAGAAGAAAAGGAATTTCAATTATAAACTGGCCAAAATATCAAAATATATCAGTGTAATTAGGCCTAGCGGTGTGTTTTGTGTTTATGTTGCACTACCACATTACTTCTGTTTTATTTAACCAAATTTGTGTTGGTGTGTGCGGTCGGGGAGAAATGGAGCAGGCTTTTTTTTTTTTTGTGTTTGTTGTGGGTGTTGCTTTATGTTTTTGTGTTTTGTTTTATGTTGATTATTGTAATTCGTTAAATGTTATATTCTGTTGTCCTTAATAAAAAATAAAAAAAAAAAAAAGAGAATTGTAATTTTCATTCCCGCTCTCGCCCGAATCTGCGATATTTTGTCCCGTTCCCGCCCGTGAATCCCACAGGATGATTTGCTTAAGCTCTATCAAACATGAAGAAATGGAAAGGAATTGTCTAAAATATGCGGGAGATTAGACCACGTCCGCAAATTTAGGCTGCTTAAAATGTTTTTATTAATGCCAAATAAAATATCAAGCACAAATGATGTATATTAGGCATACATTAATCATTTGTATATTTTACTTTACACTTATATTTAGTTTGAATATTTAGCGGGACTGCAGTTTATCATCCCACCCGCCCGCTCCCACATTGTGCAGTCCC